GTTTAAGATGAACCTCTAAAGGCTTGTCAAGATTCACCTGGTCCTCGGGCTCTGGAATTCTCTGAGATGGCAAATGCACTTACTATGGTAAATAATCAGAGATCCCCTTTCCCTTCTACTCTAAGCTAGGAATGATACATCTGATACTGAGAACTGGGGACAATAAGAAGTCCTGCGCAAAGAACTTTCTATGTTGCATTTTGTTAAGAAACCCTTGTAGGTCAAGAACAAGGCTTGGGCTGCTATCAGACCTGGATCCAAATCGTTGCTTCCTCATTTGCTAGCGGCGAGACTGTGAGCAAGATACTTAACCTCTCTGAGTCTTGGTTTCCTCATTTGTAGCACAGGTAAAAGAATAGTACCTACTCTAACAGTTGTGGGGAAGATTTGATGAAATCATGTCCAGCATGTAATACCTCGTATTTAATGAGTTCTTAATGGCCAAAGCACTCCAGGGTTGGGGACAGAATTACTTGTTCCTCTTTCATCTGAAAGAAGCCCAATAAGAGACCAGAGCAAGAGCTGGGACAAGTAGCAAAGGATAGTGGAGGGGGCTGATGACAAATAAGGAAGAGTGTTTTAATCAGTCAAGTTTCATCAAAAAAGTATTTTAATGAAATTAAAATACTGTATTTCCTTTTCCCTATTGTATAGGACAGACTATAGTTTGCTTGCACAAGTCTGTTCTGAGAGCTTGAGTCCATTTTTAAATCATCTTAAGAACTACTCCACTGCAAAATCGAGCATCCTCCGAAGGGGCAGAAGCCCTGTCCAACGAATCAAAGCGGTGGTGGGCACCAGAGCCCTCGTGGCCACACCGCTGTGCCGGGGGTGTGTCTGTGACCCAGGAGAAGCCAGCCTCAGACAGGCACAATTAGTGTGTCTTCTTAACTTTCCTTCTAAAGTTATTTGAGGGGACTGTGGTTTTGCCTTGAGCAAAACCCCCTTAACAGCCGGGAATCTAAAAACAAACAACGTTATTTTATTAGGTTACCCCAGCAGATGAAAGCAGAGTGTTCCATTTGGACTCTTTTTGGAGTCAATTAATGCATTAGTTAAAAACAAACCCTTCTGAAAGAGAGTTCCCGTTGTCCGCAGCAGCTGCTAAAGGAAAGCTTGCCACTGTGCTCTTAAGGACACATAAATGTCAGGCAGGGAGAGGAACCGAATGAATGTAAATAATTAATATTCATTGATAAGAAAAACTATTTTAATGATATATCTTAACCATAATGTAACACTAATCTCAAAGGATATGAGTTTTTAAAGCTTTATTTTTTAACTATGACCAGGAAATTTAAGTATTATATCATTTATGTGATAGTTCCTGACTCAAAGTAACCAACTAATTAAAACCAATTTTAAATAGCTGTACTTGCTTTAATAGAAGATGTATTTATGACTTCTGAATTAAGTCAACAATACATAAGACTGTAATTGTTTTCAGTTATGATTTTAACTCCAGCAGCAGAAAGGCCTGTACAGTAGGAAACTAACTGATTGCTCATTGGAAAAAAAATATTTCTCAAAAATCCATCCATCCATCCATCCATCCATCTTTCAAAATAATAACCAAAATCCCCTTAAGTTCCAGGCACTGTGGATCTAGAATCAGAGACCCTGTTCCTACCCTCATAGAGCCCAATTTGGGCTTTCACACTGAAGATTGCTACTGTTTTAGAAGATAGAGGTGGCAATGCTTTTAGCTGCCTCAGACTTTAAAATGAAGCAGTGAGCCCCCTGTGATCTTTATGTCATCAAAAGCCAACTTCTTTGGGAAAGTTTGGGTTATTCCCAAAAGATAAAACAAAGGGCACACCCCTTTTGCAGGCAGTACCATGTGTGGAAAGAACATTTCACTTCTCTTACCAGGGAACGTGTCTTTTAAAAATCTTTGGAAAAATCCACATCCTGAAATCATTTGATTACTCTGGATTTAAAATGGGATTTTGCTCAGTGGCAAGAATACAAATTCGTCCCCACAAGTATGGCTTCTGCGGTAAAAGGCACATGATGACTTTGAGCGCGAGTTTATCTAGACGGTTGATAAACAGGGCCACAAGACAGGATTCATCAAATTCCATTCTTGGAGATTTCCCTCCCTCTACCTGAAGAATTCCAGCGTGACTTGCTGAATACCTAGCTGGAGGAGGTTACCAACGGTTTCAAGCACAATTTGTGCCTGTTTTTATTCCCTGCTCACTAAGTTATGTGCTGTTAAATATTTCCATAAGACTGTCAAAATGTAAGCATCCTGAGGTTTACATAGGCCACACCATTAAATAACATATATGCACAAAATTTTAAACATTGTTTTCCAGCAATGGTAAATATTTTAGCTAAGTAAAAACTGAAGCTTGAAATGCAAGAAGCATTTAAATGATTCCTTTCTGTGCCAGAATTCGTCTTTTCCCCTGTGCAACCCGGGCTGCTGGGATTAAGGCGACCCCAGGGAGCTCAGCGAATGGTTGTGGGTTATGAGGTGTAGCACGAGCTTGGCGACAGCGTGCCACCCAGCCTCAAGAAACCCAGCCACGACTGGAACCCAAGAATCAGTGTGTTCACTTTGTGGTCAGCTTCACATTTTTTCCCCTCCTTGAAAAAAAAGCTGCTACAAGTCAGGCCTCTCCCCCACCCCCAAGCAGTCACGAGGTGGACCAAGGGCAGAGCTGAGAGACTGCAGGGCTGGCCCAGCAGGGGGAGGCTGGCCCCCTTGGGTGGGCAGGCAAGCATGTGGGAGTTACAGGTCTTTCAGTTCCTCAGCGTGAAGGAGGGAAACAACCGGGGCTGCAGGAGTAGCAGCCACAGCACTGGCGACGTATTGTGCTGTCACTTCAGGAAGAAGGAAAACCCAGAACAAATTCGACGTGGTTTTCACCACACGGTGATTGCAGTCCTATTCAAGGATGTCACAGTCACGCCACCCACTGAGCAGACCTCAGATGGAAATCAGGCCTCCTTCAAAGTGTCTCAAGTCACTGCCTATCCCCTAACAGACTAAGCCAAGGATTTTAAAGAAATGCAGCCCTGCGGCCCTATCTCCTTTGGCTTTCTGGTACCTCTGGTTTCTCATTTACTAAAGAAAATTGCCCTCAGCTACAGGTAAGTCTAAGTGAAGCCAAGATGCTCTCCCACCAAAAATAAAACTGCTCTTAAAGAAGCAGGCCAGGCAATGCACCATTTCTGAGATTTGGGTCACTGTTTATACCACGAAAATTTGATCTACAAAATTTCAAGCAAGTGCAGAGAAGGAATGCAGAGATTTACACTCAGGGACTTTTCTCCACCTTCAAAAGATCCAAGCTTGAGTGCTTTGTTATTATAACACCATCCGAATTTCTAAGATCCATTTGGACTTTTGTGACTGGGCTTTGAGATTAAGATTAAAATGTAAACATTTATCACCTATCACATTGAATGGGGATTGGGGGTAAGAAAGGGTAGAAGGAGGGGTTTTCTCTTTGGTTTTGCCAAACCAAAACCATGGAGCGAGCCACGTATGTATGTATGTGTCCTATTTTGTGGGAGGATAGTACAGCTTTAGTTCACTAAAAAAAAAAAAATTTCAGACTTGTGGATGGCATTCACTCTAATTTTGAACAGTAACTTTGAATGTCAACCTGTTGACCTACAGCAAGACAGAGACTGAGAAATGGCTGTCTCTTATGGAGGGGAATGTTCAAACTGACTACCAATAAATTAATCAGTAGCCTCTTTAGGAGCATGACTGTAGTCTAAGAAGAAGAGTCCGAAATTTTGTTCAAGGCTAGCTTCTTTCCCCAAATCATTATAGTGCTGGCCAAATATTACTGAATGTCAGATACAGCGCTTATATGGTTTTGATATGAGGAAGAGTCAGAGTAGATTAGAAAATACAATTGCCATTATTTCATACTAGTTTTCATGCCCAATTTCCAGTGAAACTTTATATAATTTTAATTCTCATGAAAAGAAACTGCTGAAAGCATTGGGGATGACTGGAACAAAAGTGTCCATTTGCTATAGGTTCCTATGGGTTCCAGGGTTAAATTTCTCTTACTCTGAAAATGGCACACTGGCATAGTGAAAATGAGGGTACACACATCCTTGAAAGACGAGGAGGATGTAGCCATGCCAATATGAATAATATCCCCTTCAAAACAAAACATATAAAGTCCAACAATGACAATTATTGTAGTCATTCACCAGGTGACATACAAAGAGCAAACAATTCAATAGCTTTAAAAATAGTTTATTTCTTTCCTCACACATGTGAGCCTTCTGACCATTATGCAAGGTACCACAAATTAAATAAAAACTTATATTAGAATACATTTGTCTTACATGATTCAAGATAAAGTGGATTTTAAAAGCAAACGGGTGCCAATGAAGGGAGTGGGGAGGGGATTAGGGCAGGGACCAGGAAGACGGGGCATGTGTTTTCTACAGTGTTGACGGAAAGAGGCCCGAATCAGCACATGTGCATCTGATGAGCAGTTAGCCCAGATTAGCACACCCAGGAGAGGTGCTGAGTCTCACAGCTCCTCTGTCTATGTAATAAAATCCCAAAAGTACTTCCCTAAAGTACAAAGACTTCTCCCCAGTAGTCTTGGTACCAGTAACAAAATATGATTATTAAACATCTCCAACGTGGTTTTCATTACAAAAAACATGTTTCACATAAAAGCTTCATAATATAATCCAGAGACAGAATTAGTGCATATTTAAAATCTGAAGCCAGGCTGGCTATTTCTGATGTTTTCACTTCTTCCAGTGTTTTTAATTTTTATAAATATGCACCCAGTTTCCTAGCAGTTTAAACATGCACAAAGCACTTTGCTCTGAGCACCATGATAGCCGTTCCGTAGCCTCTTTGAGACTAAAATCTTAATCCAAGGAGAATAGCTCTAATTTTTATTCAGACTTGCTCCTTCCCCCAAATCATGTTCGTGTTGACCAATCCCAGCAAATGTCAGATACAAACAAAGGTTTGTGAGCAGAGGCCCAAAGAATAGTTATGAATAATTTTACAATGATTTGGTTAAGATAACACACAGAAAAGGAATGCTTTCACCTTATAAAAAGCCTTGACTTGAATTTAAACAGGAGATGGAAGTGAAAGGAATGAAACGTTGCTTCAGTTCGAGATGAGGTGTGCTTTACCGCAGTAACAACAAAGCTACACAGTATCCCAGGGGTGGTCTGCCTACGGGCCTCCACTGACAACTTCTGAGGTAGATGCTGATGGCTTAAAGAGAGGTAGGTAAAGTCCAAATTTGTTTTCAATCCCCGCAAATGTGGCAACTGCCAGTTTGTAGCCCCCAACGTGATCAGGATTGGGAGCAGGCAGTGTGATCCTCGACTTAGGAACTGGCTCTGATCCCACGGGTTTCCTAAAAGAAGGGAAAGTAGAGTGAGAGTCTGAGTTTGGTTTTATTATTTTTTTAACTTAGTAAAAACAACATTCAAGAACTGTTAAAATCTGCATCATAAAGGAGTTGTCGCATTCCAGTCAGCTGTATATTTCCCTTTGAAATACGCTGGATAACATGATTTCAATCTTTCCCTCCATCTTTTCCAGTTCATCATAGGCACCAGACTGACGTACCTTCCTCAGTGACAACTGAGTATCAGAAGCAGCTGAAATTTCACTGCAGCTTTAGCATGATACTTACACTCCTCCAAAATCGATGTAGAACCATCGCTGTAGCAATTCATACGTCAGTAAAGTTACACCAAACTGGGGTGAGGATCGAAACACGCGAGCTTTGAAAAAAAGGGGAGAAATATGAGATAAAATTAAATTAAAAAAAAAATTTACCTGACACCAAAGGTTTAGTGAAGAACAAATTATTTCCATACCACCAGCTCCTTTCCACAAAGCTTTTGGGCCTTCTTCCCGCAGAATCTTCCTAAAGCAGTCTATCACTCCGCTGTAAGTGGTTTGGCCAGCCCTAGCGGCCACCTGTAATCGTGTCTTGATAACATCAGCAGGGGTCACTAAGGATGCTGCAGGCATACCTGCAGGAAAGACAACACCATCGCGGTCCGGTCACATTCTCGCTATATAAAAATAACTGTGCTGTGAACTGCTGGCCGTGGAAGGAAAGTTAAGAATCCCATGGAATCAAATGCCTCTTTCACTGTCAGCTCTGGGGAGTGCCGCTGTGACCATCACGTCTGCAGTGATGGAGGCTCCAACACCTACAGACACTCCTCAGCTCCCCTTCCCCAAATCACAACCTCCATTTGTTATGCTTATACAGTCTTCTTAAATAGTCTTAAGGAGTTTTTTTTTTTATCAATAACACTACTCCAAGTGGCTGAGAACAAATGGAGAAAGTTTGTGAGGGTGTGTGCTTTCCTGTTGAAATCAGAAACTCACAAAGTTATTAGGTCCGATTTTTCAGAGGTGAAGCTTGTTACGCGTTTCCTCTTCATGCTTTTCCGAGGCTGCTGGCAGTCACAGGAGGTGCCTTCTCACACACATTCAACCACCCCCACCCTCCAAACCCTCACCTCTCCAGTTACACCAGAAGAAGACTTTACTGATAGCTGAACAAACACCGTGTGTGTATATGTGTGGGGGTGACAGAGGGGGAGACTCCCACAGATAATACTTCAGGATTCCTTTTTCCTAAGACTGACATGTCCAGAAAAAATATTTGACAGAAAGCTTAAAATTTATACTGGCCGATAATCAATGAAAAAGGAACAACAACAACAACAAAAACCCTCCCAAAATTACCAATGGGAAATTTTTCTACAGTCATTTTATCCAAAATGGGGCAGGCCATGTTTAGATTTTTTAAAAGCGAGACTGTACTCAGAAGACACTGTCTCTTATGGTTTTATTACTTTTCCATTATGAACCTATTCCAAACCAAATTGGTCAAATGCAGATGCATAAATCTCTTTTGCTTTTTTTAAGGCTTAATAATTCTGTAAGAATTTCTGTCCAAACCAGCGTGGTCTGGCTCCCAACTCCATCTCATCCTTCTAACAGACAGCTTTAAAGTTATAGTGTGTGCGTGTGGGTCTGGGGAAACCCACATAGGACACGTTTGCATTTATATTACTAAGCTGTATCTCTTCCATTTTTACTGAGCTCAAACATTCATCTTAAGGAACAGTTTTCATAAAATGCATCACATTTTTGCATGTGAAAAAGCTCATTTTATAGCCAATGTTTCACTGGATAAGTCATAGTGAATTTCCTATTAGCTTTTGGAATTATTTTAACTTTGAGCCAGGAATTTATCCTCCAACATAATGGAAGGAAACATGAAAAATGCTTAGAAACCCACTGTGTTGACACCACCGATTTTGTTTTACTTCCTGGTTTAGAAAGAGTTTAGCAAGGCTGTCAGCTTTAGACATGCAATCAAATCCTCCTTACAACGGTGGGCAGGCGTGTCCGAGTGTGACTGTGAAAGACATACAAGCAATAAAATGGCTAAAAAGTTTCCTTCAGTTAGGGTAGTTTTCATAAATAGTTCCGTGCTATAAAAAAAAGAGAGAAGTATGGGGGGCAGGGAGGAAAGACACTGATTAGTGGAATAAAAATGCCAAAAGAAACGCGTAAAATGTTTAGTAAGTTGTCTGGCAAAACTGTGGTGTGTGTTTGTGTGTGTGGGGAGGCGGTGCTGGAAATGCGGCAGCATGCACATGACTCTGCTCTCTCTATCCCCAGTTCCCCTCTCTCCTGGGACGACAGCTGCTAGGGCCTCAGAGGAGCTGTGGATATCCCTGTGGACAGGGGATTTCTAGTGTGGAGATTTGCTAAGCTAACCTGGAGAACAGCATCAGGCTGCTCCAAAGCAAGCCCGGGAAAGCAGCATCTACCAGAAAGACCATGGTCACCAGAGAGCTGTCGATTTTTGAGGCCAGGCTTGGCAAAGACTTCAAGAGAATTTTCCTGGTCTCTGCTGGTTTCCAAAAGGCTAAGACAATGCTGATCAAGAGGTCAAGTTTCCTCTATTCCCAAATATGAGGGAGCAAGAGGAGGCTACGAGACAGCAAGGCTTCTTCTAGGTTCCTCAACAGGCAGGGGACTGGCAGCCTACCCGAAGCTTCAGTGATGAGCGAAATGAGGAGACCTTGGGCCCACCCACTACCTGCAGGACAGGAACAACTTGGGGTGCTCTCCAGCCAATAAAAAAAACTATAACTCTTTAAGGGTGCCCAACAACTAGAGAGTAGAAGTTCATTTACAACAAAAAGCAGCATGACTGGCAAAGTGCAACTGTGGAGCGAGTCATCCTTACTTTTCATAAGCATCCCATTAGTATTTGTAGAGAATGGCTTCTCTGTTTACAGGATAGAAAGTTATCTATCTACTCTGCATCAAGGTTAAGAGTTTTCCAAATTCCCTTTGCATCCTTATCTATATTATCTAGTTGATGTATCAGCTTCTAAAAGAAGTGTAAAGATTCTCATGTGGAATGAGAGAATATCACATTCTTGTCATACTTTTAAATTGAGGTTTTATAAGACAAGATTCCGTTGATAATACAGAGAGGTTGATGACAATGTATCTTCTTAGTGAATTTTATCTTTTATAAGTGTGAAATATGCCTCCATGCTTCTGAATGCTATTTTTAAATTCTGAATTCCATTTAGTTTGACATTAATATTGCTACACTTGCTTACTGCTAGTATTTTCCTGGTACATATTTTTCAATCCTTTCTCTTTCCATCTTTTTATGTCACTGTTTTCTCAAACTTCAGGTGACTAGATTTTCTTTTGCAACTCGGCTAAAAGTGTTTGTTTTTACTAGCGGCATTGAATCCACTCAATTGTGGCTGTTAGACTTATTTCTGCTATCCTATAATATGGTTTATTATCTTCTCTGCTTCTAGTTGTTTCCCTTTTGATCCCTTTCCTAATTAAATTTATTGAAATATTACATGCATTTATTACATAAGTGTAATATTGACAATGTGTACAATTAATTAGCATTTACATCCTTCATGTATACCCAAGTTAGCAGTCATTTAGACTGAATCTCAGGTTTAACTTTTATTTGCTGTTTCATATATCCCACATTTCCCTTTCTTAAATTCACTTTTCATTTGGCCTCAGAGAGGTCTCAGAGGGGGAACCTTTGAGTCCCGGCATAGGAGAAACTAACTTGAGTTCTGCCCTCCCTCCTGAATGCCAGTGTGCCGGGAACATAATTGAGGTTCAAGACGTCCTCTGGCATTTTGAAGGTATCCAGTATTGCAGGTGAGAAGGAATCTTCTATCACTGATTTGTTTTCTGTCCTTTCCTTATTACTTCTCCCTAGGGAACTCCTATTAAATACATATTAGACCTCCTGGATTAATCCTGCATGTCTCTTACATTTTCTCTTATTTTTCATCTTTGTACTTTTGCTCCATATTCTAGAGTTTTGTTTTTTTTTCCATAACTTTATTTTCCAGATGTCTAATTTGGTCTTGAATCATATCCATTCTATCATTCAGACCATCTATGGATTTTTAATTTTGGCAATCCTTTTACTAATTTTCAAGAAAGCTTCCTTACTGATTGTTCCTTTCAAATTCTCTCTGAGGACCCTAAAAATAGTTCTTAAAAATTCTCCTCTGTTTCCTGAATTGCCTGTTTTCTCTGTAATTCTTCTGTTTACTTACCTTATTGCTTCTTGTTGTCTGAGGACCTCTGGCTGTCTATTGATATTCAAGTTCAAAGGACAGGCTGATTACTATTGTGGACGGCTTCCACCACACCCTAGGCCAGGTTCACCCACAGGCCTCTCTCCTGAGTGGGAAGGCTGTCTGTGGGCTTTGTGAAATGGGGTAGGCCTGTTAACTGGATGCAGGGACTAAGCTGGCTATCAGGGTGGGGATCCTCCAATTGCTGAAATGTGGAACACCACTCTGGGAGTAAAAGCAATTATTTCACACCTCTCTTGGTAAGAGCTGCCATTAGTTTATTTTTTTCATACATCTGTGGTAAAGGTCTGGAATTACCTTAAGCCTTGCCCTGCTTTGTTTCAGTTCCTTTTAATTGCCCTCTCCAGGCAAGTAGTCCCTTTCTTGAGAATACAGCTCTGGGCTTTAAGCCTGGATTCAAGTATTGCCTGAAGCTCCATGTACTGTAAAAAGGAGGAGAGGACCAAGCCGGCCCTTCCTGAAGTAAACGCAGTTCTTTAACTCGTATTAATGATTTACCCTGAAACCTCCACCCCCACCCTCCAGGCATTCTATTGTTCACTGAGAGGTTAAAATTCTCTGGTTCGGCTCTTACATTAATAAAAGTAGGTTTTTCCTGCCAGTGTTTTGGGCTGTGGCAGCTCTCAGTTCAGTTTCAGAGTCAATACATTTCTGTTTCCTGTCTTCTGAGGGCTGGGGCTGATATTTTCTACTGCCAATAAGGTGTTTTTAAAAGTGTATTTTCTGGTATTCCGGAGGAGAGGAGAGATGGATGAATACGCTCAGGCCATTACCTTGATCCAACCTCTCTTTTACTTTTTTTTTTTAAGGATCTAAGAATTGCTTTTAACTTATCTTAAGCTTTCTGTCCACATAATTAGCAAATTTGTGCCTTTGGTACTTTTCTTCTAATTCTTCCAATATGTTTGCGAAAACCTCATGATCAGTCACACACATATAACACTTTCATATTTGTGTTTTGAACAGCTTTTCAAGATAGTCTTGAATTACAACTCAGTCTAAGCTATTTAACTCAAAGACAAAACGGTCTCTACAGCCTGACTTGTTCCTCTAGCTCATCACTCTGACAACTAAGATCATCTGGCATGATAGAGCGACTACTCTATGAAATTTGAGGAGTATTAGATAGCTTTTATTTGATATTATCCTTATACCACATTGAAATGCCCTTCATTAGTCAAAACGCAATATGTTCACCAGAGGGAATGAAAATTTGGTTTCTTAATTTCAGGCTCCTTACTTCAGCCCTCATCTTCTGACTTACCCTTTGGCTAATGAACATAAATTCAAAATATCGGTTAGTCTTACTCTATCCTGTGAATTAATGGAGTGGTGTACTCAGTATGTAAAGATATTCCCAGTTTATAACTAGATACATAAACCTAAAAAAAAAATCCATATTCTCTAGGTTTTGAGATACCAACAACCACCTGTTAAAAAGTTGCATATTACTAAAACAATCTAACTTCAAATCAAATTTTTGGAAAAAGATAGTACTTACTGAATAATTGAAATTACTATCAAACATAGAAAGCCAAATCATTTAATTGTAGGTCCACTTTATTTACAATAAAATTGTTCAAGAAAAAATATATGTATTCTGTGTAAGAGATCAATTTAATCATAAAAATTCTATTTTATATAAAAATGTATATTTTATATTAGATATAAAAATACATATAAAATAGTCATGAGACACTGCTGTCTTATAATAGATAAGTTAGTGGTCAGTTATTATTCATCATAGCTTATTCTGAGATAAGCTTTTCTCGTTTCTCTTAATGACAACAAAGATCACTTTGGCCCTGGACATACTTCCTGGGATTCTGCACATACTCCATCAGTGTGTGTCCTCTCCCTAGGAAATGCCTTTTCTCTCACTGGTACCCACAGAGGGAATGTGGGGGCCTGATCCATCTTCCACCCAACAGCCCATCTAGTAGGTGCATTTTTGTGCTCGCTGCCCTTCTTGACAGTGTTGCACTGGGCACGCTTCTGAGCAAAAGTCTTCTTGCCCTTCTCCACAATGAATTCAGCTCTCTGGCCAAGCATGCCAGCAAGGTTCTACAGTCTGCTTCCTCCCATGACATCAGTTAACTGCTTATAACTGGATATAGATTTTTATGTTCACCTTATAACAAAATACATTACGAATCTTTCATATTAATTTTGATACATTTTTAGGCATTTTAATTTGGATTTTCTAGTAAATAATCATTTGCAAATAATGATAGCTTCATTTCTTCTTTTCTAATATTTATGCCTCTTACTTCTTTTTATCTTCACTGCATTGACTGGAACCTCCAAAATAAGGATAAAAAACACGGATGACAGAGACATCCATGTCTTATCCCTAACTTTAATGAGAATGGTAGTTACAACATTTGCCAGTGGCTTCTAATATCTGTTTTTAAATTAAGAAAGTAGCTTAGTGGGGCCGGCCTGGTGGCGCAGCGGTTAAGTGCGTGCGCTCCGCTTCAGCGGCCTGAAGGTTCACAGGTTTGGATCCTGGCGTGCACTGACGCACCGCTTGTCAAGCCATGCTGTGGCGATGTCCCATATAAACTAGAGGAAGATGGGCATGGAAGTTAGCCCAGGGCCAATCCTCCTCAGCAAAAAAGAGGAGGATTGGCATCAGATGTTAGCTCAGGGCTCATCTTCCTCACCAAAAAAAAAGAAAGAAAGTAGCTTAGTGCTCATTACATAGTTTATATAGATTTGCAGAATATATAAGTCCATCAAGCTTTGTAGTTGATCTGTTCTTTGAAGAAGAAAGGAATATGACAAATTGTGTCTTATATTTTTTCCAGCCTACAGGGAAGAGTAAGATGGACAATAAAATGAAAATGAAAGTAAATGTTCTATAGCAAGTGCGGCAGCTAGCTCTCAAAATGGCCCTCAATGATCTTCATCTCCTGGTATTCACAGCTCTGCCTCTGTATCGTCTGCTGGCACATTACATAGGACTGATCAGTGTAACCAATAGGGTAGTGTGAAAATGTAGGACTGTGACTTCCAAGGCTAGGTCATAAAAGACATCGTGGCCTCTGCTTTGCTTTCTTTCTCTCACTCTCTCTTTCTCCCTCCCTCCCCCTCCCTTTTCCTCTCTCCTCTGCCTCCCACTCCCTCTGCCTCCCCCCCCAACCTTTCTCTCTCTCTCTCTGATCTTGCTGGGGGGGCATGAAGCCAGCTACCATGTCACGAGGACATTCAAGGTGACCATATGGCAAGGAATTGAGGCCTCCCACCAATGGCCATGTGATTGAGCCATCTTGCAAGTGAACCCTCCAACTCTGCTCAAGGCTTCTAGAGCCCTGGCTGCCATGTGACTGCAACCTCACGACGGACCCAAAGGCACCCAGATAAGCTGTACCCAACCCACAGAAACTGTGAGATAATAAATGTTTGCTGCTTTAGGCTGGTTAAATTTTGGGGTAATTTGTTATGCAGCAATAGGTAACTAATACAGAAGGTATCCAGAAACCAACTGTGAAAGACAAGGATGGCTATAGGGCTAAAATAACAGCAACATGGGGATATAAAGTAGCTCAAACTTTCAAGAATAATGTGGCAACACCTCAAAAACAACCATACTTATTACCAGCAAACTCATGTTAGCGTATCTTTTTCTCCAAAGAAAATGATCAAAAAAGGGGGAAAAGCCTTTAAGCACAAAGATGTTTTTTTCACAATACCATATATTTAAATTGTTTTGAAAAAAATTTAAGTTATCTCAGATTGAGAATTAGATAAATATGCAGCAATTAAAAACTATATTTACAAAGTTTTAAATGACATGATAAAATTAATATTATTGTCAAACATTTAAAAATACTTATTGTGTGCCATGCACTTTCTTGGATCTTTACGCCTATTAATTCACTTAATCCTCATATTAATCTTATGAGACTAAGATTTGTTTTAACCCCATATATAGATGGAGAAACAAGCAGAGAGGGATTGAATAATTTGCGCAGGTCACACAGTTTTAAGTCTGCAAACTGCAATTTGAACCTGGGTAGTCTGACCTCATAGCACATGCCATTAACTATTTGCTGTGATGGCTACAGATGCTTCAGATATGATATTAAGTGAAAACCACATATACGTGTGATCACAACTATGTTAAAAACCATTCAAGGGGGGAATATTAGCAAAAATGTTAAATAATTATCTCAGAGTCATGGAGTAATGGATAATATTGTCTTATTTACCCTTTCTAGTACTTTCCAAATATTTTACAATAAGCAATATTATTTTCATAATCATAAAAAAAATAAAAGAAAATAAACCTTAAAAGAGAAAAAATCCACTAGTAATTTCTACAGCTCTGGTAGTACACATTACCTAGGAAACTCCTACCCAGAGACAAAATCGCATCTGGGTCGCTGTTAAGTTAAAGGCAATAATTTTGTGTTGTGAAGAGAACAAAGCTTGGAGAGAGTCCTAGATTTTAACCTGAGCTCTAATACTTATCTTCTGATTTCACAATTGACTTTTGGAGCGCTTTACAGATTCTTCTGGATTCAATATGACATTGGCTAACATTTATTGAGTACTTACCATGTCCTAGGCACTATGCTGAGTCCTTCACACGGGCGCTCTCACTTGGGTCTCACAACCACACTCTAGTGGGTACAATTATCATCTCCATTTATAGCCAAGGAAACCAAGGCTCAGGGGAGGTTAAGTCACCTGCCTGACATCACACACTACTAAGTGGTGTGTTAGTTCTCCCCATGACGTGCTACGTTATTTCAAATAAGTGATGTGAAGTGAATTATACCATAAAACCTTTTGGATAAAAAATATTATCGTTTATACACATGTAAACGATATACAAAGGACACAGTGAGTCAATGGCCAAGTTGGGATTAAAACTGGAAATTCTAGAGCCAGATCTGCTGGCCTAGTGGTCAAGTTCTGCGCTCACCGCTTCGGCGGCCCAGGTTTGCTTCCTGGGTCGCAGAACCACACCACCCGTCTGTCAGCTGCCATGCTGTGGTGGCAGCTCATGTAGAAGAACTAGAATGACTTACAACTAGAATATACAACCAGGCACTAGGAAAAAAAAAGAAGAAAAGAGAAGATTGGCAACAGATGTTAGCTCAGGGTGAACCTTTCCCTGCAAAAAGAAAAAAAACAAAAAATCCTGGGAATTCTATATTCTAGTTTTGAAGTCATGATTTCTTGATATAGGTAGAGTGGTCTCATTGCTAATCATAGCATTAGGGTTTCTGAGCAGCCAGGATAGGACAATCCTGCCTCATACACCAATATTACTGCCTTTGAAGAAAAGCGATTAACTGCAAGTTAAAGAGGAGCTACATGGGTTCCTGCCTGCAGGGGCTCCCCAGGCAGGATGGGCCCACCAAACAGCAAACAACTTCTCAAAGCAGAGGGTTGTGCTCAAGAGACTCAAGCCACATATCTGGTGAGAACAACACCTGTATCAAAACTGCTTGAACCCAGGCAACCCATGACTGCCTTAGGGTTTGTTAACTCATTAAATGTTTGTCACCACCTGGAGAGCTAACCCAGATTGTTCCAGCCTTTAGGGTCTCTGGACAAGGGAGAAGCATCAAAGAACGAACTGATTCCTGCTGTGGCTATAATCAAATTTCCTCTAGGGATTTACACTGGGATGTAGAAACCAACCACCATAACTATTTTTTTTATTGATATATTCACTGTAGCACTGAAAAAAATAAGACAGTCATTATTCTCTGGGATTCAATTAACACACACACCGTGTTTCTATAATCTTACACAGGTAGGAGGAATCAGGTAACTAACAGGCCTAAGTCATTTCTGGTCCTACTGCTTTTCTTTTCTCTAAATGATAATAACTATTGCTTAAATTCTGGACAAGCTTTTATACACTCTTTTGCTTAGACACCTTTAAGGCACAAGTATTAAAATTTTTAAAAACTTCCAACTGAACAGTTCTCACTCTTATGCTATGAAGTGAAGCTATGAAATGATACGGAACTTGAATTAGAATCCGCCACCACCAGAAAATGCACCAATTTTTAATAAGCCTTTTTTGGAGTTAAGACATTAAGCTTCTCTAACAGTCTAATCTGCCAGAAGTAAGATTAATTTCTTTCCCTCCTTTTCAGTAGCTCTTCAAAGCAGTCTATAGCCATCTCATATGTACACTGTCAAGAACTATAAGCAAAAATTCCAGTGCAGTGGCATGGGAGGGTGGGATAGTAACAGAGCCCTGTGAGGGATACTCACCAGCGATGGCGCCAGCTAAGAGCAGGCTTCCAGGGCTAATCTGCCCATCTTCATTCGCAAAGGAAGCCTTCACATGAGCGTAGCACGGGAAGTAGATGGCTGAGAAAGGAATGTCCCGCAGAAAGCAGGCTTTGGCACCCTGTACGGTTGAAAAGGAAGAAAAACCACATGAAACACATATCCCATTGAGAAGATCAAGCTTCTCTGGAACTTACCTCAGAACAAAATATTCCTGGAGAAGACCAAATTTGTACTCATAAGTTGAAAGGGGAACAGAAAAAAAAAAATAACCCAAATTCTGCAAGTAATAAATCTGAATTTTGTTTTTATAAATAAAACAAATTTTATTGTGTGGCATGAGGAAGAGGGGGGAGTTCTCATTTATGTTAATGGTAAGATTTCACTTGAAACATTTTTGGAACGAGGCCTGCGACCTCCTTTTAAATCTCTGCTGATGGCAGGTCATTGGCATTACAAGGAGGATCTGTTCTCAGAAGATAGGCGGCAGCAACAAGATGCCTCTGTTTACACACTAGGAAGTAGACAAATTACAGAGGTGGCGGGGGAGGGGTTTGTTTCTCGTATTGTTTGAGACGCTGATCAAAGTGCTGGACTCTTTCCCAGAAAAAACTACACATACGTAAAAAATTATATACCTTTTCAAGGGGTTCATGGATCCCCTAATTTATTCACATACTTACCCATACCCCACCCCCAGGGTTTATGAAACTGATAAATGCCTGTTCTAAAGCCTTGAAATATTTACAATAATTCCTACACATTTAAGAGCTGTGTGTAGAACAATTAGCCACTAAAGCAAAGTCTTCGCCAAATAATTTCTCATGCCAAAATAAAGCCATGGGGAGGCCTTGAGAATTGATGTGTTCCAGAAATATGATATAATATTCTAATGAAAACCACAAGACATATATTGTGTTTTAGGTAGGCTAAATGGGAAGGAAGTCACCTCTTTTCAACACTTAATGATTTAATACCATTTCTTTCACAGATTTTTTAATACTTAAAATTTTCTACCAAATTTAGAGATTCTTCAAAGAAAATAATCAATCCATCCAGAGTCAACAGATTTAGCCAAGCCCAGTGACATTTACTGAGGTCTAGTGATGTTGAATCTTGGGCATTTTTGCCTGATGCTAGGCTCCAATCTGTGAAAGCTCCTTAACACTACACATCTGTTACAGCAGCCTTTGTGTTTCTGACAGCTGCATCATACTCTCGACTCAACCTGAGCTTGTGGGTAATAAAACCCTTAGTCTTTTTCATATGAACTGCTATTAACCTAGGTCTAAAGTAACTTAATTAGTTTCTTTAAACGAATAATAGAAGCAGGACTTTATGTTTAATCCTATTAAACTTTATACTAGTTTGGCCCATCCTTCCAACCGGAACAAATGCTTGGAATCCGGATTCTGTCATGTTGGCTATTCCTCAGTCAACTCACCTATGAATGTGTTAAGATGTCTCTGTGCACTTTGAATACAGATATTCAAAAAAGGACAGATCTACATCATGTACTGCCAATCAGCCCACATTTCTGTATCTTGCCTACCCCGAAACTGTTAAATGTCTAACTGAAAGGAAGAACCACAAAATCTACCACACCCAAATTCCTCATTTTATACATATACAAACTGATGCCCAGGACTCTTAATCTATCAATTGCACGTTTATTAAGGGCCATGCTGTTGGCTTGCTCAGGGGATATCCTTGGAGGCAGTGCCAGAGACTGGTCCAAAACTCAGGACTCGCAAGTTCTTTCCACCTTCCCCAGCTTTTTCAAGGGGAAAAAAGTACAGTATAATGCCAGTATCCATGTGTAGCGTCCAATCTTTTCCTTATGATCAGTTTTTTAAAAAGCTATGATCCAGGTAATTACTGTGTAAGGGTAACAGTATCGCCTATTTGTTTCTCTATTTTCACTTCCGTTTCCTTATTTTGCCTCCAAACTTTCCCATAAGTTCTACTAGCTATTTGCCCACATGCAGACTCTGTCCAGGAGATATTCAAACTAGATACCAAATAACCAATTCAAATTAAGATCAGTTAAATCTTCTTCATGTCTGGCTCCCCCAATATAGTAAGAAACATTGCCATACTACTGACTTTCTAAACAAATCAGTCAAGTGTTTTCTAAATTAAATCAGATGTTACCCCAATTAGTTTGGGGTAATTTTTAGGCTGACATAATTCCTCCTCCCACAAATCTTGTTTTTTACTAAATTTATTAGTTTTTACTTTTAACTTCATCTCCTAAATCTTCACATCTTAGAGCTGAACTTCAGTATATATGCTCTGCTCATTTTTTTGCTGGTAATATTTTCCCTTTAAAATTTTTTTTCCCTGATCATGAAATATTAAATGCTTATTGTAGACAGTACAGAAAAGTATTAAAAATTTAAACTGCTCTTAATTATCACCAGCCTGATAACCACTGCAACTACTGTACAGTGTATATTTTGGAGAATTTCCTTCCACAGTGATATTAACCACCATTCCACAGTGGGGACCATGCTTCTGTGGTTCTGAGTTATGCCTTTTCTTCTCAAATTCATGGTGTATTCATTTTTTCTCTTGGGGGGCCGGGGCAGGGGGGGACAGTATTGTCTAACATCTCCTTCATTCCTCAGCCATATTGCCTAAATTTCCTTTCCATTTGTTGTTTCAAAAACTCTACTGCCATCTTTGGTCTTGGCAGTTCTGTGGATTAAACCCAGTATTCTCACCCTTCTCAAAGCTTTGTAATGACTTCACTTTCCTATTTTCCTCTCCCTGGTCAGCCTGATTCCTCTCAGGTAAAGCTACTCAATGCCCCATTCACTTGATCAATAAAAGGACACCTATCACTCTGCATCTTCTCTGATGACTGTTAAACAGGGAATGTCAACCTTTTAAATACCACCTCTTCATTCATTTAAACCCCAAATACCACCCTTTCCACTGAAGATCCTTTAACTAGAAGATAGACAGGGAATGGATTCCACACTGCTCCACGTTGTCTATACTTTCTCAATGCTGTTCTGAGTTTTCTTCATGCTCTTATATCTGCCTCTGTCAGTGTTGCCTATTTCAGAGTGTAAGCAACCAGGGGCCAGGATCTACTGTCTGATTTAATTTAGAAAACACTTAGCAAAATATTTGGCTGTAAGCTGAGGCCTAAGACATGTTCCTGGTGACACTGATTTGGCTTTGCCAATTCCCTTAAAAAAAAACCTCTTTTTTAAAAAAAAGAGGGAAAGACAGTGATTAGCCCTTCTTATGCTATGTGGCTTCAATATGATCAGAAGGCCATGGGAAGACATGATCTGAAATTAGAAACATCTCTGTGTTTCAACACAAGACGAGGAAGGCCATGGAAGAAGCAGCTGGGTTTTCCCAAGAAGGAACTCTCCCTTCTTTCCTGAAATCATGACAAGAAATCACAGATCAGTGTGAGAACAAGTGCCTAGTAAGGGGTGTGAGGTGCTTTAAGAGATGTCTGAAAACAGCTCCAGATCACTAAGAAGAAAAATGGCTTGATCAAAACACAAACAAGTACAGAAGAACAAATCTAAGGAAAAGGTGGAGTTGTATTGTGAAACACTAAAGGAAACATGGTTAGGAATGTGTTGTATTTTTCCTACCAGGGGTCGGACAATGTGATCAAATAATTTATGCATACTAGAGCGAATGTTAGACTAGGTAAGAGGTTTTAGGTTTCTGATTATATGAGGAAAAGGAAGAAAAGTCAAGGAAGCAAGACAACTTGTGAAACAGCTACCATCTCTGCTCCACAGAGGCAGGACAGCCTAACTAGCAAGTTAAAACACTTAAAAACTCAAATTTCCACTGACAGACGTATGAAGAACCCCTGATACAACTCTCCCGTATTGCTATGTAGCCGTGTGATGAGCACTGGGAGAAACCAAGCTCTGAACTTTCCTCACCTGTCAGAAATACCAAAGCTTACCTTCTTGGCTGGGGGAGGACCAGGGGTTTAGGAATAAATGAGGTATTAACTGTGAACGTCCCGTGTAAAGCTTCAATTGCGGTACAAACGTAAGGGACAGGGGATGAGGAGGTCTGCGTCTCCCGGCGCCTGCCTCCTTACACAGCCCAGCACCACCTGCAGAGGCATCTCCCTGCAGCAAACCACCCTCGGGAGTCATTACGTACCCCTCACTCTCCCACTCCAGGCATCAAAGCCCAATTCCCAAGGAAAGCTAACTTTGCAAAAGGTTGGAGAAAAAGGCACAGACTTATTAAATTTCTCTAGCCTCCTTTCCCCACCACTTCCTTCAGGTCTAAGGCACAAAGGCAGGTGCCAATTTGTAAGGCTGCCTCAGGCCATACCTGACCTGTTGCTCCCGCACATGAAAAGGGAAGCAGGATGTGAAAAAGGCTTTTAAAGCTCCAACAGTGAGAATGTTTCTCTCCCAGATTCCTTGATAAATCCTTCACTTTGTGGTGAACACCCATTCCCCAGTCCTACATCAAAACATAAACCTGTTTGACTTGAATTCTACTTGCCCCACGTACAATTTTTACTAAGTGATCAGCCATTCCGAACAGGCAACTTTATAATAAAGGGAAACATTCCGTACTGCCCAAGAGCCTGCGTCAACAACACAAAAATAATTACTTTGGCTGTTAAAAAATTAATAAATTACAAAGTGTGTGCCACCTAAAATAAATCTTTAAATGTTCTTGCCTTATAATAAAATCCCCACATTTTCCTGCCTTAAGTCTTTCTCCCTGGTTCTCTAGGCAGCCCTGCCCTCAGACATTCTCTGGTTGGCCCTGCATTTCCTTTGTACACACAGTAAAATCACTTGGGGGAAATTAATAAATGCAAAATGCAATCATCTAATGTCTTACTATTCATTAAAGCACTCTTTCTCCAAAGAGGGGAAATGATTGTTTTTTTTCTTTTTTAATAAAAGGCCTACTAATAATAGACAGGAACAATAAAAGGCATCTCAGGTGAGACCTATATCTAAATAAACTAGAATCAAAACTCAGGGCCAGCCCCGTGGCTTAGTGGTTAAGTGCGCGTGCTCCACTACTGGCGGCCTGGGTTCAGATCTGGGCGAGCACCAACGCACCGCTTCTCCGGCCATGCTGAGGCCGCGTCCCACATAC